CCCGTCGGCACTCGGGGAGGCACCCTCGGGGGCAGCGCGGGTCTGGGTACATCTGGTGGCTCTGCGGGGTAGGGAGGGAAACCGGGCGAGTAAATATCTCCGGTGAGCATCTGGCTGAGCGTCCGGATGTAGGGTTGGACTCGGTGGTCTTTGAGGTCTCTTCCAGCCAGGTTGATTCTATGATTCTTTGTCGGCAAAGGGAGGTCGTGGGTTTCTCTGAGCCTCAGGCATCTTGCGCTGGTGTTTCTGTATGCACGGGCAAGGCTGCACTCTTCTGTGACTGTGCCCTCCTCTGCCACAGTTGCTTCCTGGAAGGTGGGAAAGGTTTTCATACAAGCTCAGATGAGTGGGAACATGAACTGAATGTCCAGCACAGCTCTTACCTTTGGGATGAACCACACTGTAGGATCCAGGACATGGGTGTGGATGATGATGTTCTGTTTTGTTGTGCTTGAGTGTGGGCTCCTTAATTTCCACCCCAGATAAGCATTCCTACTTCAGCCCAAGTCAGTGTCGTTCCTCATTCAGGGAGGTTTCAGTAAGTTCTGTCTTCCTTTGGAGGGATAAAACCCCCCAACTTTCAGACCTCGATTCTTCCTACCCCCTCAGCACATATGTTGATCAGTGGACATTGCACAGCCTTTCCCTGTGCAAGGGAGTCACATTGGATTGACTGTGGTTCGATGAGAGAACCTCACAGTGCACCTGGAGAGTGCCCGAGGGGATCATCCGAGTGCAGGGACTGTGCCCAGCTGCTTCAGGGTCTCTTTACGAGGGAATGGCCTTGAGCTGAGCCAGGGCAGAGTCAGGTTGGATGTGAGGAGAAATGTTTTCCTTGTGAGGGTGTTCAGACACTGGGATATTGCCCAGGGAGGTGGTGGAGTCACTGTCCATGGAGGTGTTTAAGATCTGACACTGGAGGATCTGGTTTAGGGGTTACAGAGAGCCCAGTGGACACACAGGTGAGGGGACAGTGCACACTGCAGAGCTGAGTGCACACACAGCTGAGAGGTTTCCCACTGACTCTCCCCAGCTGGTGCCCCACACATCTGCCAGGTCTCACTGCTGCTGCTCCTGTGGTTCTGCCTGGCCCTACTAACGTGTTTCCCCTCTGTGTCTCAGGTACACCCTGGACAACAACCTCCTCACCATGGAGCAGAGGCAGTTCTATGAGGACAATGGGTATCTGGTCATCAGGAAACTTGTTTCTGACAGAGACATCGAGCGCTTCAGGTACTTCAGGGCACCTGCTTGGGGTGCTGGGGCACCTCGAGGGAGCTCTGGAGACAGCTGGATCCTCCCAGCATGGCCATTCCCTCTGCTCTGCAGGAAGGAGTTCACGAGGATCTGTAAAAAGGAGGTGAACCCACCAGGAGCTATGATCATGAAGGACGAGTCCCTGAAGTCCCAGTTTGGCCAGTCTGAAAAGGTGGTGAACAAAGTGCAGGACTTCCAGGAGGACCAGGAGCTGTTCAGATACTGCACTCTGCCGGAGGTAAGGCAGAGAGGCAGCAGGAAGGGGATGGTGGGGGGGAGTCTGTGTGGATGTGTCTGTGTTTCAGTGCCTCTGTGCAAAGGCTCTGCTGGAGCCACATCCTTAGAGTCATAGAATCAAGGCTGGAAGAGACCTTTAAGGTCATCAAGTCCAGCCCTTAACATGGGTACGTGGGCACCAGTTCATTTCCAGCCCCTCTCATGCGTTGATTAAATCAACAGTTAAGAACCAGCCGAGACTCTGGAGCTGGAAGGGTGAGCTGAGAGCTGTGTGACTTGCAGTCACAGCTCCAGCTGTGCTGGTGGCCAGGTGAGTGCTCCCCAGCAGTGTTCAGCTGAGCACCATTCCTTTCCTGTGCCAGGCCAGGGGGACAGACCAGCACCACGTCCTGCATGTCTCCTCTCCCTGGACAGGTCCAGTGCTGCAGCCAGTGCCCGTGCTGTGGCAGACTGTCAGCTCTGTGGGACCACGGCCCTCCCCTCCTTTCCCACCCCTCCTGGCAGCACTTTCTCCTTCCTTGGCCTCTCCCACCATGCCTGTTTGTGTGCTGTGCCAGGTCCTCCCTCCTGCTCTGCATCTCTCTGTCAGCCTCCTGCTGTGCCCTCAGCCTCACATCCGTGTCCCAGTGCTTCCATGGCAATCTGCCCTCCTTTTTCCTGCTTCTAATGCTTCTCTCTTCCCTGTAGGTCCTCAAGTATGTTGAGTGCTTCACAGGACCAAACATCATGGCCATGCACACCATGCTGATCAATAAGCTGCCAGATTCTGGTGAGGAGAACTTGGGAAAGAGGAAAATGGGGAAATTACTCTGTGTGTGTTGTCTGTGTGGCTCAAAGTTGTTTTCTCTCTTTACCTTGGCTTAATGAGATAACATGAGAAAACTCAGTTTTGGGACTGTGCAAAGTCTAAGTAATATGCAGATGAGGCAAGTGGAAATATCTCGAGTCTATTCAAGGAGCAAAATCAATGGCTAAAGAAGTCCATATAAATAGTTTATAACAGGCTGTTTAGTGTGGGTGATAAGTTTCCATTTTCATAGGGGGAAAAGAAACCCCAAAGCTTCAGGAAGATTGATTTTTGTACAGACTTCGTGGCATAAAGGCCCGAGGGCAAGGGCTGATAGTGCTGAGTAGAGTGGGGAGGCTGCGGTGCTTAGCAGGAAGGAAAGCTGTGTGCCATGTGGTGAGTGGAGGTTTCTGACCCTGTGTTGCAGACAAACAGACCTTTCTCCACCCCATGCATCAGGACCTGCACTACTTCCCGTTCCGGCCCGCGGAGCTCATCGTCTGCGCCTGGACCGCCATGGAGAGAGCTGACCAGGACAACGGCTGCCTCGTGGTGCAGCCTGGCACACACAGGAGCACCCTGAAGCCCCACGGCTATCCCAAGTGGGAGGTAGAGCAGCAGGGCCTCAGACAGGCGTGGGCCAGGGCAGGGAGGACGTGCAGGTCACAGAGTCACAGTGAGGGTGGAGGGACCACAGTGTTCATCTGGTCCCACCTCCTGCTCCAGCAGGGCCAGCCCAGAGCACATGGCTCAGGGTTGTGTCCAGAGGGGTCTGGAACACCTCAGTGAGGAGAATCCACCACCTCTCTGGGCAATCTGTTCAGTGCTCAGGGACTGCACAGCAAAGAAGTTCTTCCTGTGTTCAGGTGGAACTTCCTGGGCATCAGTTTGTGCTGTTCTCTCTTGTTTTATTGGTTCCCCCACTTAGCAAAGTCTGATCCTCCTCTTGGCACCTCCTGTTCATGTCCTTGAACACATGAAACTTGAAACCTCAGGTCCCAGCTGAGGTTTTCAGTGTTTTTGCTGTTTGTGCAAACACTGACTTTGCTCTGGGGGAGAGTTACTTGCTTGGCGTCACTCCATGTGTCCTGGGTAGATTTGCCTGTGTTCTCACCTTCACCTACAAAGTGTTCAGCGCAGTTCATGGCATGACATCAGGGACACATGCCATCACTTTCCACTGCCCTTGCCAAGGCTGAGGCTCTGCCTCCTGTCACTCTGTCCCTGCCTGGTACCAAGTGTAGTGCCCAAGAGGAGAAATCGGAGAGTAAACAACTGGATGGAATTAAGTATCAGGTGGCATCTTCCTCCTGAGAGTGGGTGTTGCCTGGGCTGGTCTGTCCCTGGTGCTGGTCGTACTGGGAGCAGAGGGCTGGACCCCAGTGCTGGCATCAGGCCACACCTGTGGAGTTCCCCAGTGCTGTTGTCTGCTCTCTGCAGAGAAGTGTTCTCAGCTGATTGACTCCAGCAGCAAACACAAAAAGTGTTGCTTTGCTGGCCCTCGGGCTGGCAGAAGAGGGACTAGGAGTGAGTAGGCAGGCTGGGGTCTGGCCTGGGGGACACCCTGCCCGGGAGGGCAGAGCTGTGGCTGTCCCTGCCATCCCTCCTGCTGGGGAGCAGCTCCTGCTCTCAGCTCAGAGATTCCAGCTCAGCCTTCTTCTTCTAGGGCAAAACCAACAAACTTTTCCATGGGCTGCTGGATGAGGACGAGAAGACTCCCAAGGTTCACCTTGTCATGGAGAAGGGAGACACAGTGTTTTTCCACCCCCTGCTAATCCACGGCTCTGGGATAAACAGGACCTCGGGTTTCCGGAAGGTAGGAGATGTCTCTTGACACAGTTCTTCCTGTTCTTGTTCTACACAGTGACCAAATGATCCTTCCCCTTTCCAAGCTGGTGAAGTGATGGTTCATTGTTTCCAAGCCCATGAATGTGTGGGTGAATGTTTTAGTGGGTTTTTATCTGCCTGATGCACTTCTGGACTCTGAGAAGTCACTCGGGTGTTTCCGAGCGTGTGTCTCCGGGAGCAGGGTGTGCCTGGGCAGACTGGGCAGCAGGAGAGCCGAGCTGTTTGGAGCCTGGCTGGCTGCACTTGCCTTTCCAAAGGTTCCCTTTCAGCTGTCCCAAACATCAGGGGCTTCTTCCCATCATGAAATTTAGCTGAAACAGGCAGAAGCTCCTCCTGTCTCCGAAGGGATGAACCCAAGCACTGCTACGTGGGCTGCTCTGCCTTACTTCTGATGTGCTTTACTTAGATATGAGGAGAAATGTTTTCCCTGCTGTGGTGTTGAGGCCCTGGGATATTGCCCAGGGAGGTGGTGCAGTCACCATCCCTGGAGGTGTTTCAGAGGTGTCTGATGTGGCACTGCAGGATCTGGGTTAGGGTTTGGGGGTTCCAGCAGTGACAAGTTAAGGGTTGGACTCGACATTAGAGGTCTCCTCCAACCTTGATGGTTCTGTGATTTATTTTTTTGCCTGCCACATGTTCTTTCAGCCCCAGTAGCAGTTTATTGGTGATTCCAAAGCAGGTGAGTTGCTGTGACACTGTGGGTGCAGGACTAAGAGGTTGCTCCAGCCCTGACCTTCCCCGATCCCAGTTGTTGCTGGTGCTCTGAGGTCAGGCAGTGCAGTTCGTGCTGGGGAGTGTCTGGGGGAGAAGAGCATGTCAGCAAGCACAAGTGCTGGCTCACTCCCAGGAGAGAGGAGTGCTTGGAAAGGAGGAAGGAAGGAGTTTTCTCCCCCAGTCTGTGAGGAAGGAGTGAGGTGTCCACACTCTGGGATGCACAAGACTTTCCCAGCAGCTGTTTGCAATGGATGTAGCAGTGAGTAATGCCCAATCTCCTCACACAGAGCATAAGCTGCCACTTTGCCAGCTCAGAATGCCACTACATTGATGTCAAGAACACGACTCAGGAGCACCTGGAGAAAGAGCTGGAAGAGATGGTTCGCAAGAAGTACAACGCGACTTCCGTGGAGCTCAAGGTAAGCTCAGCCCTTCCCCAGCAGCAATGCCAGTTCCCTCCCAGGGCTGTGTCTGCCAGGGCTGTGCTGTGCCAGGTTTGGCAGCTGAAGCTGTGCCAAGCAGGGCTGCTTGGCAGGGGAAGACACCTGATGTTCAGGGGTTGGTTGGGGCCTTTGTCCTCACGATGCTGTGGTGGAGAAATGGCTTTGCTCTCGGGCAGCCCCTTCACATCCCTCGAGCTCTGAAGTTCATCCTCCAGCTCTGCTTGTCAGAATGGGTTTTGTGAGCACATCTGGATCCCTTCCAGTGTGGCTGAGCTGGGGGAGATCAGGTCAGCACTTTGTTATGCTCCTGAGACAGATGTTGCAGTGTGAGAGGAGGATGTGCAGACACTGCTGCCCTGAGGGGCACACCACTCAGGGGCTCTGGGCTGCACAGAATCATGGAACTAAGGTTGGAAAAAACCTTTATGATCATCGAGTCCAACCATTTCATCCAGCTGGGCAGCAGTGGGGAGGGCTGACACGGCCAGGCAGGATTAGGAATTCAACCTTGTCACTCTCCAACTCCTGCCAGGGCTGG